CTGAAATCATAAACCATTAAATGGATTTAATTTTTTGTAAATATTATGTCATTCCAAGAGGTGCACATCTTTCATTGATCAGGATAAAAACTATGCATGCTCTTGGTGTATATTTAGTGGAGACATTAGATGTTGGGATATTTTGGTGTAAACCACTATAAAAATTGATAACTGGGCATATGGTATTGGTTGCAAATTGCCAACTTTTTATTGTAATTCTCCAAAGACTTCATAACATTTGTAAAATCTCTATCATGGTCCTGGATAAAGTGTGTCCGTGTGGTTACTTAATAATAATTACTTGTAAAATCCATTTCATAGAGCCATGACCACTGAAGTCTTGCTTAGAGTAAAATTAATGCGTTTTTAATCTACTGCTCTGTGCCTGGTTATCTTTGTTAGTATTTTTAAAAAATCTGCATCTTTTGTTAACGTTGTATATACCAGCCCAAGTAATACTCATCTTATTAATAATTTGTATTTTGCATTGTATATATTACCATATTTGTGGTGTTCTTGACTCTGCATTTACATATGTAATATTCATTACCCATTTTAATGTTGCCAGCTATGTCAGTGATACTGGATAATCTTCTACCCAGCTCTGACCTTACTATGGCATCAGCTTACTTCCCCTCAATTTACAAGGGCTTACTAAAGTTAAAATAAAAAGCAGCATGTGAGCCCTTCACACTTGCCACTTTCTGTCCTGTCACAGAGGGGTAGTAATGACCGTAAACAACTTCTGGTCACTTACATACCTCTCCCCCTCCAAATGGTGATATGGGTGATTCTACTGACATTTAAAATACATTGCAAGAATTTACCTCTGCCTTATCCATAGCTCAAGATCTCCTCCATAATAAATCTAAAGTATGTATAAAACTTCCTTAATGATATGTACAACATTCAAAATGGCAATGGTGAATATCCACGAATTATTATCATAGGGTTGGTGAAATGTTGGTTGTGGCTAGGGTAGTTCTTGCATAATATAATAATAACTTGTCTGTTTTGGAAATTTCTGCTGACTTCATAGCTGTCACTGTATTTCATGGCTGCTGAAACTATTTGCTTTTTAATTAATATCAGATGAAGCCTGTGCAAAAAAGATGTCCTTAGTCAGGAAAATGGGGTCATTAGTGATATTGGCTGAGACTACAACAGGCACCCATCTAACTGTCAGAGCAGTGAAAGCAGTAATGTTCATTGGTAAGCCTTGTACACATGGGCCGAATATTGGCTGGTTCAACAGAATCCAGTCTATATTCGGTCTGTGTGTACAGTAGCCTGTCCAACAGAAGCTAGACGTTCAGGCGAACAGGCATGCTAGAACAACATTTGATTGACATCAGTTGCGAAATCTGACTGTGTGTTCTGGGGGTTAGGGGGCGCAGTCCTCCTGCTTGAACACAGTAGCTCAGCGGGGAGTTCGCTGTACTAACATCCCATAGTTATTACAGAGAGACCCCCTCGCAAGCACCTCCGTTTTCTGGGCTGAGTGAAAAAAAACTTAGTGTTTACCAGGCATTAGTGTATTGTATGTGTGGCACAGTGGCTTAGTTAGCACGTCTGCCTTGCATGGGTCATGGGTTCGATTCCCGACCATGGTGCCTCCTGCATGGAGTTTGCATGTTCTCCCTGTGCTTGCGTGGGTTTCCTCCGGGTGCTCTGGTTTCCTCCCAAACTCCAAAGACTTGCTGGTAGGTTCATTGGATCCTGTCTAAATTGGCCCTAATATGTGTATGTATGAATGTGAGTTAGGGACCTTAGATTGTACACCCCTTGAGGGTTAGGGACTGATGTGAATGTTCAATATATATATGTGTAAAGCGCTGCGTAAATTGACAGCACTATAGAAGTACCTGAAATAATAATGTATGTAAAGTAAAAAAAAATTATTTTTTTGTTTTGGGGAAGGGTTATAAACCCCTATCAAGTTATTTCTTGCTGCCTCTGTTCCACTGTGGAGATTTCACTTTTAATTTCTGAGACAGAACAGAAAATGAGAGGAAATCTCTCCAAAGTTCAAAGAATTCCCATCAGGTGTCCCCCATCAGCTCTCGCTCTGATGACAACTCAAGCATTTCGAATTTCCCTTCACCTTCTCTGTAACAAAAGTCACTATGAAAAATGTAGGGGTAAATCTGCTCAGTGAGCACACAGACATCAATAAAAACCTGAAAAGGGGCTAACCTTTCCCTACTGTTTTCCAAGCCAAAAAAAAAAATAATCCTTTTTACATAATTCTTGTATAAAAATTGTATTTCTGTATCATTACCTGCCAGGTTTATTCTGTATTATTTGTTGGGATTTTTTTTATTCATGTATAATAGCTCAGCATAAATGGGTACACCCCAACAGATTTGTCAGAAAACATTTACTTTCCGTTTCAGAATCAACATTTTCTATGGGACACTATATTACAAAATACTCCCACAAATGCGGGCCATTGATTGCAAACAAGATCTGTTAATTTGCACACACAAAAAAAAGGATTTTTTTAAAATTAATTCAAGACCATGTTGCAAAAATTAATGAAAGGAGCAATACTAAATTTTAGACAACAAAATACTAATTACCAAGAATTCCACTACAGGCGAGTCTAATTATTCATTAAACAGGTGTCCAGCAGACAGTTGATTATAAAAGGGCGTTACTTAAGAAAGGAAATACCTTCCCATTTCATGCTGTAAGCAATGGCATTACATGGAAGAGAAATGTCACAAGGTATGAGAAAGAAAATAATTTCTTTACACAAGAAAAAGAAAGGTGAAGGCTACAAGACGAAGCATTACTTAGTCAGAATACTGTAGAAAAGTGATAAAAAAAAATTAGCAAAAATGGAATTGCAACCATCTTACAGAGATGACCAGGCCATCCACGGAAATTAACACCTCGACAGGAGCGTCTTTTGATGAGAAGGGTTGAAGAAAATCGCCATGCAAGTTCACTGCAGTTAGCTAAAGAAGTAGCCAAACTTGGGTAATTGTTTCCTGTGACACAGTACAGAGTATACTGCAGAGGAATGGCATGCATGGGTGTCGTCCACAAAGAAAGCCTCTCCTAAAACCCATGCACAAAAATTGCCCAACTAGAATTTGCCAGGGCCCATGCTGAAAAGAGAGACTACTGGGACTCTCTACTCTGGAGTGGTGAGACCAAGATAAATGTTTTTGAAACTGATGGCTTCAAAACTGTTTTCACAAAGGTGAGGAGTACAAAGAAAAATGCATGGTGCCTACAGTGAAACATGGTGGTGGCAGTGTCCTTCTGTGGGGCTACATGAGTGCTGCTGGTGTCGGGAAGCTGCACTTCATTGATGGTATCATGAATTCACAGATGTACCTTCTCTTGAAAGAGAAGGTGCTACCATAACTCTGTGCCCTTGGTCGTCATGTACTTTTCCATCTTGACAATGATCCAAAACATACATCTAAGGCCAATGTTGCTTTTCTGAAGAAAAACAGAGTGAAAGTGATTCAGTGGTCAAGTATATCTCCTGATCTGAACCCAATCGAACACCCTATGGGGAATTCTGAAGAGACAAGTTGAGCATCACTCTCCATCCAGGCTCTAAAAGAGATCGTTCTTGAAGAATGGAAAAAGGTAGATGTGCTAACCTTACAAATCATGAAGGTCATACAAAATACTAGATGTAGTAGTTTTTGTTGTGGGGTGTATTCATTTTTGCATCAACGAATTTGAGTAAAACTGAAAATTTTGTAATCTAAGTTATATTATTAACCTTACTTTCATGTAATGAGCTAAACAAATGTTCTATAAAACTCAGTTTTGTCACAATTTTGTAAATTGTTCTTGTGTTTGAGCTGTTGATTAAAAGGTATACCCATTTATGCTGAGCACTGTGTGTTTATGTGTGTTTGTGTATGTGTGTGTATATACACACACACCGGGTAGAAAGTATTAAACACATCACCACTTATAGGTAAATATGTTTCTAAAGGTGTTATACCATGCAAGATTCCATTGCTTAAGAAAAAGCATGTTGAAGCTCGTTTTAACATTTGCTGCACAATATTTAGACAAGCCTGTGAAATACTGGGAGAATATAGTCTGGTCAGATGAGACCAAAATTTAACTCTTTGGATGCCTTAATACACCATGTTTTGAGGTTAAATGGCACTACACAACACCCCAAAAACATCATCCCAGCAGTGAAGTTTGGAGGTAGGAGCATCATAGTGTGGGGCCGTTTTTCAGCATACAGTACCGGTAAACTTCATATCATTGAAGAAAAGATAAATGGAAAAATGTACCAAGACATTCTTGATAAAAGGAATCTGCCATCTACCAGGATGATGAAGATGAAACAAGGGTGGACATTTCAGCAAGACGATAATCCCAAACAGAAAGCCAAGGAAACTCTCAATTGGTTTCAAAAAAAGAAAATAAAAGCTGCTAGAAATCACCTGACTTGAATTCAATAGAAAATCTATGGAAAGAACTAAAGATCAGAGTTCATAGAAGAGGCCCCCACAGAACATTCAAGATTTGAAGACCGTGTGGAAGAATGGGCCAAAATCATACCTGAGCAATGCATGCGGCTAGTTTCTTCATACAGGAGGCGTCATTGAAGCTGTCATTATCAACAAAGGATTTTGTGGCAAGTATTAAATACATTTCAGTTAACGTGTTTAATACTTTTTCCCTGTCATTCCATTTTATATTTTTTTTACACATAACTTAATTTCTGAACTTATCTATTTTGGTGTGTGTGTGTTTTTTTGTGTATGTGGTTACTTAATAATAACTTGTAAAATCCAAGTGTGTTGCGCAAAACATTCACTGGGCTCTCCCAGGTACCAGGCATAGACCGATCAGCTATAAAACAACCTCTGTGCAAACAGTTGCTTGTGTTTAGTTTCATTTCCATTTGTATACAACAAATAATAGTATGTTGTAATTTTTCGCTGTTTTGTAATATTATTTGAAGTCCCCCATCAGTGTTCTGTTTTAAACCTTATCTGTTATTGCAGAGAGAGGACATAGATGTGGAGTTGGGTAAGGCTGCTCACTACATGCAGTTTGCAGCTGCTGCCTACGGATGGCCCCTCTATGTATACAGCCGTCCCTTTACTGGACTGTGCAAACTGTGCGGAGAATGGTGAGTGTACATCATCACCTTTTTAGGGTATAAAGAATTGTTTTCAACAGCCTCTGACCAGTAGTAGCCTTCAATCCAATCTCCCAACCACAGCCAACAGATGTACAGAGGTGCACAAAAGAAGTGATCACACCTTTACAAGTGCCTTATTTCACCAGGTTCAGCTGTGGTTTACAAATAAACGTTTTGCATGGCTCTGACCATTTCTGAGGATATTTGTGGGAATAAGACCTGCAGTTGCCTTTTGTGCTTCTCATGAATTCTGTGGTGGTCTTTTTTGTTCCTTCTTCATGCCCACCTCATCCTAACCTTTCTGGTTGTACTATCTCATTCCTTCTCAAGCCCTACTCCATAGAAGCTATTGTTTCGATTTACTGTGTTGATAATGGCAAAGAAGTCGGAAATGGCTGTATTGGAATAAATGGCTGTTTAATATCCTGTAATCTGCACTATACGCCTTCGGTTCTGGATGCACAGTTGGCCCAGAGGCATACAGGAATGATTTGCATGACTCTGCCCACTCTGCTACAATTAAGAATTGTTAGTAGAATCCAACAGAACAGTTGCATTCCAATGACATCAGCTTATATAAAGTCTTGAATCAGCCAGAACTCAGAGGCTAAAAGTTCCCACCCAAGTCCACTGTTCCAACATGTTTCACCCCAATTGGGCTCAATTGTAGAGATCACCTCCCATGTGTCAGTTATGGCTGAAATAAAGACTTGTGTGAAGGGACTTCATCAGATTACAACCTTTTGTTGCATACTTGGCAAGTAGATACTTTCAGCCATTAAGAAGGCTGTGCTGTTCTTCACATTGTGTTAAAAATGGTAGGTAAAATGGTACAAAGTCCTAGAATAAAATAGAAAAAAAAGGTGGGCCCTTGGGCGGTTTAAGCCATAATGTGCTAGTATGCACAGCTGGCTAGCACATTATGGTAGACTTACCCTAACACTAAGCCCTCCAGTGGTCTGCTGTCGGTGATTCCATCTTCATCCAGTCTTCCAGGTTCACACTCTCCTGTTTGAATGGCCCAGCCACGATGACATCACTCCTGTGCATGTGCACAGGAGTCAGTCGTGACACAGCGCACTCAATGGACAGCATACGTGAGTTTGTTGTCCATTCAGAGCACAACGGTACATGGTTAGGAGATAGTCACTGTACCTACAGGTAAGTCTTACCTGTAGGTACAAGTCATCAAAGGGACTTTTCTACCGCTTTAATGAAAATACATTTCTATAAGTTATATTTATTAACTGACATTTCTTGATGCATGCACTCTGTTTATTGTGTTATTCGTAGTACTGGCATTAACAATCTTATGTTTCAGTTGCCAGAATCGAAGTGCCCAGCATGATATTGTCGGTGGTGATAATCTTAACTGCCATTTTGGCTCCATCTTGCAGACAACAGGACTCCAATACAGGGATTTCATCCACATCAGCTTCCATAACAAGGTAAGGAAGTAATGAGGTGCATCACTTTTTTAACAGTGATAAATGTATTTTTAAAATTCTAGTAATCATGTTACTGTATTTTTGCTTTAGATCTATGAAATACCATTTTTTGTTGCCCTCGATCACAAAACTGAAGCCATCTTAGTAGCTGTGAGAGGAACATTATCCCTTGAGGTAAATAGAGTGATTTCTTAATTTAGTTTTGTTGTAGCAGAGTATTGCACTATTTCTTTATTTTTGCTATTTGTAATTCCACTAGTTACTTCTGCATGTTGCTATTTTTGGCAGTGAAAGCGATCACAGTTCGTTCGTGATCTGCACTGTCTTCTAGTTCCAGCGCTGAACGCCTGCTCTGCTGCCTACTGAGCAAAGGAGGTCACCTGGTTGGCACGGGTGCTTCAAAGACCACTTAATTTTCTCAATGAATACAAAGTGATCTCTGATTGGACAAGGTGGAAATCATGATGTCACTTCCCCTCCAGCTCACACAATTAGAGAATGATTTGTATTTAATGAGAAAATGCATAGTCTTCCCTGAATGGCATGCCATGCCAAGCTAGCGACCTTCTGTGTTCAAAATGCAGCAGGGCAGTTGCTCGACATAGGACCTGGAAGCTAGTGGAGATCACTGTGGTAGCCGTTCATACTACAGTCATTTCCATCTTTCAGGGGGATCCCACAAGTATGGTTCATACTTATATAGGTCCAAACTGGACATACTACATGTAAAACTTGACATAACCAGGATTCATCTTTAAGTAAAATGGGAATCTAGGTCAAGCTTTGGACCTGGACACTCCACTACCTTACTTCATCTTCATTCAGTCATCCTGGAATTTTCTTTTTGTATCATCAATCACGCCAGAAATTTATAATTCCCAAAACTATAATCATTTTACTATATACATAACGTAGTCTCCCTAGCAATGGTGTGCTATGCTTATGAAATTTTCACTCTAGTACTCTGAAGTGACAAACTGCTGGTTGCCTGACCTTGGCAGCTGCACTGTCCTGCTTCTGTTTGAAATCTTCCCCATGTTCTTCTGGCAAAAATCTTGCTTTTAGATCACTGCCAAGACTTGCCAGTGTCAGCTTAGCAACATCAAAGTAGAACTTGGAGATGTAATCTGGGTTATCTTTTATCTATTTTATGTTAAATTTTGTACTGCTGATCTCCTTGGCCCTGGGATAGGCATGTTACACCAGTAGCTTCTAGATGTTTTATATCTGTGTTATTTTACTCTCCGTACAGGATGTTCTGACTGACCTGTCAGCAGACTGTGAGAATCTGCAAACAGAGGGGCTGGAAGGAGATTGCTTCTCACATAAGGTAAAAATAAAAAATAGCTACTTGGTATAAATTCTTCTCGCTTTTTTTTAAGGCACTTCTCTTGACAATAATTTATTCCCATCACTGTCAGCATTTTTTATTTCTACTGTAATCGGTGTCTGCGCTTTTTACCTTTGAAGTTTTAATAGTTTTCACATGTGTGAAGTACATTTTGACCACACTTTGTATGCCAGCAGTAGTATACTCAAAATCAAACATCAACAGGAGATGAAAACATGTAGAGCTAATACAGGGTGTCATAGGGCCTATGTCAAGAATCTAGAAGGTCATGCACCTTAGAAAGGCATAGGTCATGATTAAGAGCACTCTAGTAGCCCATGGTGAAGTATCAAGTAAGGCATAATGACCCTGTCTAAGATTGTTTCACACCCCGAGAGTAAACTAGTGGGAAGGCAAACTGTGTTGGAGCGAGTTAAGAGAGAAGAAAGACTGGGGCAGAGGGATAAGTGATACTGGCTAATCCCAAATCCCCATTTATGTGGACAGTTAGGTTTCGTAAAAATGCAGCTTCCCCCCCCCCTCCATACAGCCAGGTCGTCAGTCCAAGTAAAAATATATAAAATCCGATGTATTCCTTTAAACCTCAGAGGTAACTTTCTAGTTGGAATTCGTCAAGATGAGTTGTTTTGAAATGCATCTAACTTGATCAGGTGCCTATAAATTTGGTATATCTGTCCTGAGATATGGATCAGTTCTTCCATCTTAGCTATGTGGATGATCTTAGAAAACCATTCTGTGAGAGAAGGGACTTGTTTTGAATGCCTATGGGAATGCATAATCTAGCTGTATTAATCATGTGCATCACCAGAGTTTTGCAATACCTTTGAACAGGTAAAGAGGAAAGGTGCAGTAAATACTGAGTCAGGATGTAATCAAAAAATCAGTGTAGAGACATCCACAATAGTATATAGCATATTACATTCCTTCCTCCACACTGCATCTCCAGCAACGGTTGGAAATTGAGGGGGAAATTTTGTGTAGCAGGATTGGTGCCCTGTACCACGGGGAATGGATTTTATAATGGTTTTCCTGAATTCTGATATTTAAGGATCCCTCATGTATTACAGTTTTAATGACTTCACAGTCCTTCTCCAATAGCTCAGTATCCAAGTCCTTGTCCAAGGCTGCACACGCTGCTCCATATTTATCAAGTTGTTCACTAAACATACAGGCATATATTAATAAGATCAAATGGTTTCTCCATACAGAAGGACTCAAAGGGAGTGAGGGGACTTGAAAAATAATAATGCCTGAAAAATGAATTGTTTAAGAAATACTTAACCTGAACGTAATTCCTGAAGGGAAAATACTTTGTTTTTGAGAGGTCAGAATCCGCTGTGTGATCTAAAAACCTATCCCCATGGAAGAAACGACATTAGGGTGTGGCCATATCTTGGTCTAGAAATTTAGAGACTCATGGTTTGGGAAGTCTCAGTTAAGCCGAACTGGAGTGAGAGGGCCCAGTGACAATGATATGAATAGTATCCTACAGGCTAATTCAAAGCTTCTCAGGGTCAGGTCTATTAGGGGGTGTTCCATAACTGCCCTTGGTAATTTTTTGATGGGCTAGCCAAGGCAGAGAACCGACAGGGAGTTACGGGAGCTCTTTCCAGATCTATCCAGTTCTAGTGTCCATGAATCTTCCATTAAATCGGCTTCGTAAGATGACAAGCCATAAATAAAACATAAAGACAGATTCAACCAGTACCCAGCAAAGGACAACACTGCTTGAGCCATTGCAAGTATCCGGACTCCTGGTCTGGGTGGGGAGCTGGAGGGAGCAGATTTACGACATCAGGGCCTTTGTTGCTGTGGTCTCTGCGCACGCCCTGGGGAAACACATCCAGCCAGGGTTCTAGGTGGTGGAAATACCATAACAATCTGGGAGTTCCACGAGAGGTAACCTCAGGAGTTTGCCAAAAGGAGATAGGTCATTGGGTGTTCTTAAGTGAGCCGTATACCCTGCTGCGGAGGCAGTCAAACAGAATGGAAATCAGTATAGAATTGCTCTGGCTTGTAGGATGTTGAGCAGAGGGTGCAACACCCATCTGTGCTGTAGGATACTGTTAAGTTCTGAAATATCATCTGTAGTTCAATTCCATTAAAGGAGATGTACTCACAACGAGCCTCCCACAGGATTTCTTCTTAGGTCTGATTGACACCACAATTTCTGCATTCTGGGTGTTTTTTTGCATATGCGTATACACGTTTTTGATGTGTTTTCAATGTGTTCCAGTGCTTTTTTTTTTTTTTTTTTTTTTTTTTTTTTGTAAACCTAAAAGAATCTCTGGACAGTGTGTGTTACAGTGCATTTTTGGAGCATTTACATGTGTTCCATTGTGTTTACATGCTTTTTGCTGTGTTCCAGATGTGTTTCATACAAAAAACACTGTGCATGTGTGTTTGATGCAGATTAAAAATGTATTGGTCTGCATCTGGTGTGACCAGTCCCTAGCATGAAACTCCTGAAGCAACACACCATGTCTCATGTTGGCTCACTGTTCCAACCTCCGGGTCTCCGCACCCTATGTAATCTCTCTAGCTATTTTCCTCCTGCAACAGCTGAATGCCAGTGGGAGAGAGAGGAGGAGAAGCTGGTCTTCAGCAGTTGTAGGAGGAAAATGGAGACGATTGGTTCCTGTAAATGCCACCCCCACTGACTGACTCTTCTGTCCAAATGTAAAACTAAATGTGACAGGAAGGCCGCACGGACCCTCTGGAGCATGGGGCGGGGTTGCCATTGTGGCCCGGGGTGCTACACCAGTGGTTTGGGGGTGGTGGTAAAAACCACCCCCCCAACCCGCAAATGTAAACAAGACCTTACGGTTCTGAGCCCACTATATAAGTTCTTTCACACTGATGTGCTGCAGTTTATCTGCGCCACAGGTGCAGCACAGTGCACTTGTGGCTTACCTGCTGGTTATCTGCGTTTTGCAGTCTATCTTGTGGGTGTGGTGCACTTTCTAAAAGTCACCAAAACTCCTGTATTCAGTTTGAGGGCCACATCAGAGGGCTCTGATGGCCATGTCCACAGGTTGAGCACCCCTGCTCTAACTCAGTGGGGATTCCGGAGGTCTGTCATGTAAATCCTTAAGGATCGCAACAATTGTGAGTTCAAGCTGTGCAGGCTCCTCCCCCTTCTTGTATGCCTCGTATCCAGAGGTTGTGTCTGCGTCCACTATTGTCCAAGTCTTCCAGATGTCTATGCATTTTCATGATATGCAACACATGGGATTTAGGCACCTGCTGTACTTAGTGTATAGCTACATCTTGCTATGCCGATTTTGTTTTTTTTGGGTTTTTTTTTTTCCCCACTGCCGCTAGTGGCAGTTCCTCTTATATCCGTCATTTTCATGTCAGATGCCACTGCCTGAAGGTCTTTCTGATGCGGAAGCTGGTCTGCATATAGGTAAGTACTATCCCTCGCATGATGGGCATGTGTTTCAAGTTCAGAGCCACTGCTGGGAGAGCAGGGTGCTGAGGTCTGAGAAGGCATGTACATATCCACATGCTGGGATCAGAATAGCTCAGAAATGGTATGGCTGAATTGTGTGCCCGTGTCCTGCAGTGTTCAGGATGCTAGGATACTCTGCAGATTTGTTTCCGATCTTGGAGGTTTTAAGTTAACCAGTATCAGTAGATAGAAAAATCCCTGGGCTCCAGAGCTCTTGTGGCTAGACCAGCAATGGGCAAACTACGGCCCGGCGGACCTTTTAATCCAGCCCACGGAGCGTGGCAAACATTGGCTGTCAGGATGTAGGCGGGGCAGCGTGACGAACGTGAGGGGAGCCAGGCTCCTCTCACAGTCCGCCCTGAAGACCGAAACGGCGCGGGAACACGGCGAGAGGAACGCGCGGAGCAAAGGTAAGTGAATTGACACAATATGGGGAATGAATTACTATATGGGGGATAAATTACTATATGGGGGATGAATTACTATATGGGGGATGAATTACTATATGGGGGATGAATTACTATATGGGGGATGAATTACTATATGGGGGATGAATTACTATATGGGGGATGAATTACTATGGGGGGATGAATTACTATAGGGGGGATGAATTACTATAGGGGGAATGAATTACTATAGGGGGGATGAATTACTATATGGGGGATGAATTACTATGGGTCCGGCCCCCGGGTCCAATATATGAACCCATTGCGGCCCTCAAGTCAAAAAGTTTGCCCACCCCTGGGCTAGACCATGCCCCCTTTAATTTATTTTACATTGCAGGATTGTGAAACATGCAAAATTAACACCAAAACCTCCTAGTGCACAGAAACATAGTCAGGAACTAGGACAAGGAAGATATGCATGAAGCCAGGGGCTGATGCAGTCCTGTCTAGTTCATATCAACCAGAGGTATAGCTAGCTAAATATGTTGTTTTCCTGTGTGATCTGCCTTTCATGTCTTCCTGTTGTGATGGGTGGAGTCGCTGAATAACAAAGGATACATTCACCTTTTAACAAAAAATTGTAAATGCACTTTTTTTTTTTTTTTCTTTGCAGGTAAAAATGCATTTATTATTTTTTGTTTCTGTAAAGCATTGCCATGCAGGTCTCCCTCTGACCTGTCCTTGTATCTGTGTTCCCGTACAGGCAAGTAGATACAACTGACAGGAAGACTCAATGAACTACCACGGGGCTCCACAGCGCTGTGGTAGTTCATTGAGAACTACAAGCCAACAGCCACAAAGGCTGTTGGAACTTTTAGTGCTCTTAATCACAGAATACTGTGCATGAGTGATGCGGACGGAGCCCCGCTCAGCCCCAATTTTATTTATTTTTTTAAATTGTGACAGATAGCAGGAGGGAGAAGATCCCCAGCTAGCTGTCACAACTGGGATCAGGGGTAAGTGGGGGCCGGTCTATCCGTAACATGTTACATGTTAGACCCTGAACAGTGTAACACGTAACATGTTACGAAAGGTGAACTTATCCTTTTAATAGGGGTTAGGAGTTGGGTGGGGGACAAGGTTATAAAGATGCGCCTCAACCCACAGTTGTCTACTTCTTTGGATCTACTGATGGTTTTCTGTTGCAGTTTTTACTGAAGGAAATCTCTGGGCATGTATTTTCATAATATATTGGCATCCTGTGGGCTTTTGACAGATTTACTTTAATCCATGCTCAGCGGTTGTACTGTATATAAAAAGTCCTCCTGGTCTGGTCCTTGTGCTGGAAAGACGGTACTTAAAGCCTGTGTTCTTGTATGTTCTTCCCATGAAGCTCTTGTTTTCTGCCATACTGCATGTCCCAGATCAGTTTTAGGATCAAAGTTGTTGTATGAAGGGGATTCCATTAATACACTGTGTCTGATTATGTGATTTTTTATTTTTTTTTTTCCTAGCAATTGTAAGAGCCATTGTTTGGTTTCGGTAAATTTTTATTACTATGTAAACGGGCCATTAACAGTTATCCTAGAGAGAATTTCTGAAATGATATCAGGCTAAACTTTCTACCAAATGATGGCAAGTTAACTGCATACATAATTGTTCTTTCCCAGGGCATATGTCAAGCTGCAACTTACATATATAGAAGATTAATAAATGATGGCATATTGAATCAAGCCTTCACAATTGCACCAGTAAGTATTTCTTTGCCCCCTAATAATGTCCACAATCCAATTTTTCTTCTTCTCTGTTACCAGTATTAGATCTTCATACCTGACACCAAGATGCAAAAAAGTGAACGTGTGTGTTCTGTATGAAAAAAATTGAGCTGCGGTACAATGGTGTACTAAATTCCAACATTGTTCTGGATATTAACGGTCATTTGTATAACAGATAAGTTGAGATTTGCTGAAGGCAAATTATGTCAAGCTCCCTCTCCACTCATATTGAATTAAGTCCTAATACAGTACTTAACAAAGTGTTCTGGTAGGCTCAATTTAGTAGAAGAAAAAACATTCTTGGAGCATTTTTTAATACAGAGTTGAAATTTGCAGTGTACCTTTTCACCTCTGCATTATTACCCTGGAGTTCTGCCTTAGCCCCAGTGAGCTAATTTAGCCAAATTTGGACATACTTTTGCTATATGTGATCCTTTATCAAACCACGAGCATTGAAATTGGATTGAGCTCACTCTAACGGTCAGTCCTTGCAAACTTTAAATATATGTCAGACTGACGTGCACGGAACTAAAAAAAAAGGCAAAACCAGTGTGCATCAGATTGCACAATAAATATTCTCCTAAGTATATACAAATTAAATATACTGCATTTACAGAACTGCAGCATAAAACAGGCATGTCACAAGACCATAAACATAGTCCTCCAAGATGTCAAGAGATCACAGGAATTCTCAACCCTCTTCTGGTCGACAAGGTGGGAGTGCAAATAGGATATGAATTAAGGTTTTATGTCGGTGTTTCTGGCTAAAATGACAGGTTCTAGTCAAAAGCACCCCCCCCCCCCCCCCCCCCCCCCGCCCCCCCCCCTCCCGTTACCAGATTCATGGTGCTCTCACATCATTTGTAGATGGAAGAAACATGTGACCTTCCTTTCCCCCTTTCCCAGGAAGGGAATTTCTAGGTCAGAGCATCATCACCTAAAGGAGGGGAGGAGATAATTGACCCTATGTAAGCTTTTACATAGAGCTTGCATGTGGTTTAGACCCACAGTTCTGACCGAGTAGGGGACCACAGTGAATGGGAAAAGTGACATGTTTCCTTTTCAAATTCCTTTTGGATGCTGTGCACCCTCCTATCTGGAAACATAATGTTCTTTTTATCTTCTGTAGAAGTCTTTCACACCTTTTTCCTACAGGAATACAAGCTGGTCATCGTAGGACATAGCTTAGGAGCTGGAGCTGCTGCTCTATTGGCAATAATGCTTCGAAGTTCATTTCCTACCCTGAAATGCTATGCATTTTCTCCACCAGGGGGCCTGCTGAGGTAAGAATCCATTTTTCTGTTGACCTGTGTAGTAAGGAGTAAAATGTGCATTAAAGGTACCTAATGATTTGTATCAGGATTTGTCCGCATAATACATCAAACTCATGACTTATTTTTAAAATTTTATTTTCCACATTACCCCCCCCCCCCATCTTGTGTGGGGATTATTTGGGTGAGGCAGTAGGCAGAATAAGGACTAACTGTTCTGCATCTAGCTGTTTGATACACCTAGCATGTCACCATCAGGGAAAGAGGTGCAGGAAATCTCAGAAACCTATTTTTTCTGTTTCATTGCAGTCTGTTTCTAATTTATTAGGAAGGCAGAAATTAAGGGAAAATTCCCCACCTGGGGACGGTAGGTGTTGCTATAAACCTAAACCAGGTACCCAGACCAAAAAAAAAAATATTGGCTCGCTCTAAGACAGCCTCATGGCCTTAATCACATGTAAATTAGATGCGTGCTTTTAACCCCTTAGTGACTGAGGTAAAAAAAAAACAAATGTTAATGCCTGAACACAATTTTTTAATCGCAACTACTTTGTGTATCCAGGTGGATTATACCTAGTTTCTTGCAGAACGAATCGGACTTTCTTTTGGTGGTAAATGGCAATGATTATCTCCTGATTTTATTTTATCAAAGGAAAACTGCGCAAAGATAGTGAAAACAAAAAAAAAACCTAAAATAAATATCTCCAGCTTCTGATGATCGGAGCAATACCAGACATATGTAGGTTACTTGGTGCTCATTTTCCTTTTTTTTTTTTGTTTTTAAAAAACTCAGAACCTACATAAAACACACTGACACGAATTTAAAAAAATGCTTTTTAAAAAAATCCTACCCAAAATATACTGGTCCTGATCTTGGCCTTTGACCCCTTTTGACTTTACACTACACTAACCCTGGCACTGACCTATTTCTCTCCATTCAGAAGAGAAAGTAAACACATGGGCAGGCTGCACAGTGATTGATCACTGTCCTAACCAATCAGAGTAAGGGCTCATTCACGTTGGGTGCTTTACTGCAGGCCCTGTGCAGGACCATGTTCTCCCCAGGACAGGTTAATTCCTGTGCAGGCGTCCCTTTCATTGATTTTGGGATATGCAACTGCTAGAACATGGTGGCTGTGTCTGTGCAGCCATATGTCCCATTAGAAAGTAATGGGATGCCGGAACGGGGATGAACGCAACACCTGTGCATCCCTGTCCTTGGAAAGTACAGACCTGCACAGAGCCTGCAGTAAAGCACCCCATGTGAACGAGCCCATACTCTGCAGGAAGCTGAGACTCATGCATATTGAAGAGATTGTCCTTGGAGATCCTACAATTCTGACCTCTGTAAAATCACAGCTGTGAGTCTTGTTGGTCCTGGTAAGTAGGTGTCCAATACAGTAGTCCAAGAAAACTAAATTCAGGGCATTCGCGGCATGTCACTTTTCTTTTTTTAATCATAAATTCCAAGGGCTAAAAACAATTAAAACCCGTAGGGCCAGTGGAGGTATTTTAATTGTTTTGGATTGTTTTTTGTTTGTTGTATTAAAGCGGTAGTTAACTCTGCTTTTGAAGTTGTACCTACAGGTTAACCTATAATAGGGCTTACCTGTAGGTACAGTAAATATCTCCTAAACTTGCAGTGTTTGGGAGATATTCACAGTGTATGACGTCACCGGCGCATGCGCTCTGAAGGTATGCCATCCCTGCCGGGTATGCTGTCCCTTCAAAGCTGTGTGCCATAAACAGTGACTCCCGTGTGCATGCGTGGAAGTGACATCATGGCTCAACCATTCAAAGGACCTGGAGCAAGCAAACTCAGAAGGAAGACCCCAGAAGGAGAAGGTGAAAGCCCTGTCAGTGGTTAGAGTGGACTACTATAGGACTTGTTCTAAGGTAAGTATTTCATAATGTGCTAGTATGCATATTAGCACATTGTGCTATTGCCTTGCAGAGGATTTTTTTTTTTTTTTTTTTTTTAAATCATATAGCATATATAAACATACTGTAAGAACCACACAATATTTTTTGATGTTCGTGAACACAGTCCATATACAACCATATTCTATAGTTTTGTATCCTATACCGAGATAGTAAAACATCAGTTAACGGTACATATGAGTTTTTGGTTGTTTATATCCGCTAGACCATATTGAGACATATATACACTATATTGCCAAAAATATGGGGACGCCTGCTTTATACACACATGAAGTTTAACCACTTTCGGGCCTCCTGCGCGCAATGTCTACAGGACCAGGGATGTAACCATATGTCACTGGTCTTTTGTCAACACTGAGGGGTGCTGTGGGCACGCAACCGTACCTCCCCACGTCTGCTGTGTCCACCGGACACCGCAGAATGAGAATCCCGGTCATCGGGACTCGGTGGTCATATGTTCGCTTTGCGATCACAATGACAACAAAGCTTTTATGAATCAATCTGATTCATAAAAGCTTTGCTTCTGTTCCTGGAGAGCTGTGATTGGTGCACAGCTCTTACATGACACATGGGCCAATCACAGCAGATCATTATTCTAATGAACTGTCATTAACACATTCCTGGTGGTTCAAAGCAACCTTCAATGATCTCTATTGCTCCTGCAATGCAAAGTGTAAAACAAAATCCCTGATCATCCCCCATACCATTACTATGGTAACATTGCATTACTCTGATGAAAGTATTTAAAAAAAAAAAAACCAGAAAAATAGTTGTTTAAAAAAATAAAATAAAAAATGTTTAAAAAAAATTGAAAGACATTTTTTTTTTTTTAACATCTTGCCACCCGCCTGCCAACAATGTGCAGGTGAGTGGCATCTCTGGGCAGGCAAAGCTACGTAATATTATGTCGCTTTCTGTTTCTGTGTGTGCATGCGTGGGCCCCCCGCTGCCCCCTATATCGTCCAGGGAAAGAAGAATGAACAAGGCTTGTAAAATGTAAAAACACTATATTTTACACGCACACGTTAATTAGTACATTTAACTATTTGATTGCCCCAATTAACCCTTTGATCACCCCATCACCCAGCCAGTGCCATTGGTACAGTGTCCGTATATAGACTATTTCACTGATCCCTGTATTACTGCCACTAGTGAAATTAGATAGTGTCAGGGTTAGTTAGCGCCCCTCCCAGGCAGGGTCAGCTAGCGTTAGATTGGCCACACACTATCACACTCATGCTATAGGTCGCTGATCACTGCCATTACTAATATAGTGTTTGTACAGATCAATATATTGATCACGAACCAAACTATACTAGTGCCACCTTTATATAGTATCCCAAAAAACACAGTGTAAGCAGAATCATCCTCTTTTGCTGCCAGCACTAATGTTTAGCCCCTCTGCTTCACAGAAGATTTGTGTGAATTGATTGTGGGCCAAAGGAATTTTATATGCACAACAATACATCGCCGCTCACCCAAAAGGTTGAAAGTAATTTTCTAGCAAAAAAAACTGTTTTTTCAAGTAAACAAAAAGTGTCACAAAAGGCTTGTTCTTCAAGTGGTTAGAAAAATGGGTGATGTATGGCATAGGCTTCTAATGTTGGCTTTGAAATGCCAGGATAGTAGAATGACCCCTTTTTAGAAAGTAGACACTCCAAGGTATTTGCTAAGAGGCATGGTGAGTGTTTTGCAGATCTCAATTGTTGCCACAAGTTTATGGAAAATGAAGAAAGAAAACAAAAATGTATTTTTTCTTTTATTCTTTTTCAAAACCCTGTGACAAAAATATCTGCAAAATACTCGCCATACCTCTTATAAAATTCCTTGGGGTGTCTACTTTCCAAAAAGGGGTCATTTGGGGGGGGGGGGGGGTTGTACTATCCTGGCATTTTAGGACTTCTGAAACTGTGATGGGTAGTGGGGAAGTAATATGAGGAAATATGCCCTTTGAAAGCCTGTTGGTGATAATTGGATTTTGGGGGCATGTATATGGCTAGGCTGCCAAAAAGTCTCACATGTGGTATCTCCATACTTGGGAGAAGTAGAAAAATGTGTTTTGGGGTGTTTCTTCCACATATACCCATGGAATGCATAGGTAATATCTCATTTAACTGACAACTTTTGTGTAAAAAAAAAAAAAATTAAAAAAAAAATTGTCATTTTCCAAACTTCTGTGGCAAAAAATAAAATGTTCCATTGACTCAACATGCCTCTCAGCAAATTCCTTGGGGTGTCTACTTTCCAAAAAAGGGTCATTTGGGGGGGTTTGTACTGCCTTGGTATTTAAGCGCCCCAAGAAATGTGATAGGAAGTCAGAAGCTGCATAAATTCCAATATATATACCATAGTTTATAGATGCTATAACACAAACCAATTAATATACGTGTATTGAGATTTTTATTTTACCATACACATGTAGCAGAATACATTTTGGCCTAAATTTATGACTAACTGAGTTTACTGAATATTTTTTATAACTGAAACTAAAAAGTATCGGGCTTTCTTTCAAAATTTTTGGTCTATTTTCGTTTATATCACAAAAAATAAAAAACTCATTGGTGATCAGTACCACCAAAAGAAAGCTCTATTTGTATGAAAAAAAGGACATAGATTTCGTTTGGGTACAGCGTTGCATGAACGCACATTACCTGTTGAAATAATGCAGTGCCGATTAGCAAAAAATGGCCTGGTCATTAAAGGGGTAAATCTTCCGGAGGGCAAGTGGTTAATGGCATCCCAGTCTTATACCTGGAAAGGGTGGACCAACTCAATACTGAACCCTACGGACTTACAGCTTCTACTCTTCTGGGAAAGCTGTCCACAAGGTTTAGCAGTGTGTCTGTTTATGGGAATGTTTGACCATTCTTCCAGAAGCGCATTTGTGAGGTCAGGCACTGATGTCGGACGAGAAGGCCTGGCTCCCAGTCTCTGCTCTAATTCATCCCAACGGTACTCTGTCGGGTTAAGGTCAGGACTCTGTGCAGACCAGTCAACATCCTCCACCCCAAACTCTCTCATTTGTGCACTGGTGTGCAGTCATGTTGCAACAGGAAGGGGCCATCCCCAAACTGTTCCCACAAAGTTTGGAGCATTAAATTGTCCAAAATGTCTTGCTATGCTGATGCCTTAAGAGTTCACTTCACTGGAACTAAGGGGCCAAGCCCAACCCCTGAAAAACAACTCCCCACCATAATCCCCCCTCCACCAAACTTTACACTTAGTACAGTGCAGTCAGGCAAGCACCGTTCTCCTGGCAACCGCCAAACCCAGACATGTCCATTGGATTGCCAGACAGGGAAGTGTGATTCGTCACTCCAGAGAACACGTCTCCACTGCTCTAGAGTCTTCTCGGCCATGAAAACCCATTGCATGAAGCTCTCTGCACACTGTTGTGTTAATCTGAAGGCCACACGAAGTTTGGAAGTCTTTAGCTATTGACTTTGCTGGCAGTTGGTGACTTCTGTGCACTTCAATATGTGCTGATCCCACTCTGTCATTTTACGTGGCCTGCTACTTCTTGGCTGAGTTGCTGTTGTTCCCAGTTTTTCCACTTTGTTATAATACCACTAACAGTTGACCGTGGAATATTTAGTAGCAAGGAAATTTCACAGATGGACTTATTGCACAGGTGGCAACCTATCACGGTACCACGCTTGAGTTCACTGAGCTCCTGAGAGCGACCCATTCTTTCACAAATGTTTGTAGAGGCAGTCTGCATGCCTAGGTGCTTGATTTTATATACCTGTGGAGTGGAGGTGCTTGGAACACCTGAATCCAATGATTTAGAGGGGTGTCTTTTGGCAATGTAGTGTATATTGTGAGCAGCATATTGTATCTGTAATATCAAAGAGAGAAGACAGCAATAGTCTTTGTATTTCTTACTATAAGTTGTTGCACCATCAAATGGTGAACCAGAGTTCCATGTGGCTAATGGCTTACTGTTGATTTTTGCTGGTGCAGCTCTGAAAATTAAAAAAAAAAAAAAACTACAAATCCAGAGGCTGCATCTAAAGACCACCGTTCTCCTTGAAAGAACAGTGGTCTGACCCTGCCCCCGCCACCCCACATTGAGTCACCATTACTACTCTGCAAACAAGAGCTCTGGAAGTGCCACTTATCTTTAAGCCCCCTAGCATGTAAAGTGCTAATTGAATGCATTAAAAGCATTAAACGTCAGGATACAAACTTCAGAAAATACAAATGCTTAACTTGCTGCTCAGCCCCCATACAAGCTCCACTAAGGCTATTTACATCAAGCTTGTCTTTTTAAATGTTTACCTGGAAAAAGAGAAACCCTGTAAAGACAATACACCCATCGTAAATGTTACCTTTACACACACATCCCACTGGGGTCCCCACACACCCCATTACAGGTGTACCTTGGTTTATGAACGCCTCGGTTAATGTAATTTTTGGTTTCCGAATGAAAATCCATTGAAAATAATGCCTCGATTTACAATTTTTTTTCGCAATACAAAGTGTATGTTGGTGCTGATTTTTAAATGCAATTGCCAGCTTTTTTTTTTTTTTTTTCACTATAGCTCACAGAATTAGCTGTCACTTTCCCTGGAGCTAAAGGATACTTTTTCTTTTATCACAGGAAACAAACTAAAAGGAAACATTGTTTCTTTTAACTCAGGGAAATAATCTAAAAGGAAACTTTCTTTAATTTAGCTGGGGGGAAAGTGACAGCTGATTCTCTGAGCTATAGTGAAGAAAAAAAAAAGTGGTAATTACATTTAAAAAACTGGCCTATAGTGACAGCGACTTTTGTTTTTTTACTTTTTTCTGACCTCCGGAACGGATTAATTGGTTTTCAATGCATTCCTATGGGAAACCGCATTTTGTTTTTGTTTTTTTTGGTTTGTTTTTTTTATGCAACATCCCGAGAACGCATTAAATTCGTAAACCAAGGTACACCTGTATTTCTAAGTGCTTTGCTCTCCCAAGCAAATGCCCACCTCTTCAGCTGCTGACACTATTGTCTTCTTTAATTCATCCTGCAGATAACAGGATGCATGGCCTCGAAAATCCACAAATGAGCACTCCCGGCCACAGTCCATGCTGTCTTGCAGATTAGCATTTTTGCGAATAAAGGAGAACAGACAGCATATATGGGGAGGAAAGTCAGAAGCGCTTGTGCTGGGTGCATCCTGCCATCTGCAGGTCTGTTTGGGAAGGACAATGATAGCAGGTGAAGAGGTGAGCATTTGTTTGGGAAATAGAGCACAGCATTTTAATGTATTGGGGATACTGTGGTACATGGGGGAATGTTAGGTAAATTTTGTGTAAAGGTGGACTTACCCTTTAAGTAGGATATTTTGCTTATATTGTGTTTTAAGTGTTGATTAGAGGCCATTTTAATCTGATCTGGTAAGTCTGTGTGATTTAAAAAATAACTTTAATTTTTATTTCCTTGTCTAGCAAAGCTCTTGCTGAATATTCACAAAGTTTCATTATCTCCATAATACTGGGTAAAGATCTTGTACCAAGGTAGGTACCCAACTCTGCAGATGCATTCCATGCTTCATACACATGTTGTATGATTTCATCTCTTGATTGCTACCTTCCTCTGCACAGATTGAGTTTACCTAACATGGAAGACTTGAAAAACCGAATACTAAGGATGGTGGTCAACTGTAACCGGCCCAAGGTATGTAAGCTTTGGTTATGCCTTTTACAAATGGCTACATTCTGAATTGCTTAGTACAAGGTAAAAAAAAAAATCCCCATCCAGTTTATGCCTATATGTAGTGAAAATGTTCAGCTTTATTTTGTACTACCTGTAGTCATTACTTTGAATGAATTTTCCATTTCCCTGCATACCAGATGAAATTTAAATTTCTTGTGAGAATGCTTGTGCTTGACTGTACAGTGCTAAGGTGAGAGAGAGAATAGCTGGGTAGAATGATGCAAAGTCCAATTTCTCTGTTTCATTGGTGTATGTGCAGCCACTTTCTGTCAAAGTGACAGTGGTTTTACTAGACTGCACAGACAGCAGTGAAAGCCGTAGAGACCTCTGCCTGCAAAAAAATAAAATAAAAAATAAATAAATATTAAAAATAAAACTAAAATTATATATAAGTTTTTAATTTAGTTTTTGTTGCTTTTGGAGTTTTATGCTCACTTCCTGTTTGGTAAAACATCAGGACAGATAGTCTCTCTATCAGAGCTTTGTTAGGGAGCCCTAGATCTTCTAACTGAGTCCCAGATAACCGTAAAAACCTGGCAATGCTTCTAATCATTCCCTTGGATCATATGAAGAGCTCTGCTCTACATTACCCTCCTGAAGACTGCATATATTGAAATAATGCTTCCAGGTACATACAGTGTCATGCATGATAGTTTAACAATAAAGGAAACCTTTGAGTGCAACACAAAGGCTGCTATTGCTCATCACCTTCTGCAAAAAAAAATAAGTTATGAAGGGCGCTACAATGCAGACCTTCCTTTTTTTTTTTTTTTTCCTTTTTTTTCTTTTTTTTTTTTTCTTCAATATATCCCCAAGGGCCCCAGTCTGGAGTCTCAGTACAGAAAACATTGAAGAAGGCTTTGAGGGTAAAGCAACATAACGTGGGGGGGAGGTGTTGTTACATTATAGGATTTACTGCTAGCTATTGGACATAACTACTTGAAAACACATTTTCACACTTTTATTTAGAGTAAGAAAATGTATATGCTGTACCCAAAAAAGAGAGAATTGCTTAGATAGTCCTGAACCCCGGCAAGACTGAAAATGTCTTGCGTGATTGTGGTGGTCTAATTATTACAATTATTTCGGGGATTTTTGACACTTACTTGATATGATGGACTTATGTTAATAAGGACATTTTTTTTATACTTTTTTATTTTGTGTGCACGTTTTTGGTTTAGTGTTCACAGCGCCACTGTGAAAGGTATTTTTCACATTAAATATTTTATTTGTTTTATATAAGCAGTGATTTGTATTATCATTTATTATTTTTTATGATTCAACGCTTTTTGATAGTTTAAGAAGGTGATATAATTGCTTATTTCATTTTGGGCACGCATCTAGCGTAAAGGTTTAAATATTGAATTAATTATTACAATTTTTTTGGGATTTTCTATTCTCAGTACCAGATCCTACTGCGTGGTTGCTGGTATGAATTATTCGGTGGCAGTCCAGACAACTTCCCAACAGAACTGGATGGAAGAAACTTGGCTTCCCTGTCACAGCCTCTACTGGCTGAACAGAGCTTTTTGGTCCAGAAGTCATCTTCATATAATACTTTAACCGATGGTTCCCCTCTAGATTCTCCACGACACCCTCTTCTGTACCTTCCAGGAAAAATCATTCATATTACAGAAGAAAACCGATCGGGATGGTACGTACATGTTACTGATTGTGCAGGTGTACATAGAATCTAGCACTTTACTAAGTAGTGTTGGCTCAAGATAAATTAAAATGTTAAAAAAACATATTGTCAGTCTTGAAAGATCTAACTGATGATACAAACAAACCCAAATCGTCAATAGCAAAGGAAAAACAAGTCTGACATAATTGTTTTTTTTTTACTTTTTTTTTTTTTTTTTTTTTCTTTTTTGCTCACCTGCAGGATTCCCTGGTACCTTATAAAAGGAACCATAGGTAGCAGAGACTTATAATACATTGCATTCTTTCTATCTATCCTATATGTCTTAAATTCTATGTGAAATGCTTTGGCCCTGTTTAGTGGGCAGAGAAATAGAACATTGGCTATATATTGTAGCCACCCTAATAGACCCATAAGTTATAGCCAAGGGCCACTTCTAAGGGTCGCTGTTTTAAAGTGTTATTAAAGTCTTCGAAAAAAAGGAAATAAAAAAAATATTTACCTTCTCTCTACAGTAACAAAGCACCCTCTGTCCTTCTGTCAGTCCCCTATTGGCACCAGCTACTCCCTGCTCCGGGTGCCTCCTTAGCGAGCTGGGAAGGCAGCCATGCATGCGCACTCCCGAGCAAGGTTGTGAGTCCACAAAGGAGTTTTACTGACAGCAGCAGAAGCATATGGCTCAGCTGCCTTCAGTTTCCTCTGAGAAAATACAGGAAGGTAAAATAACATTTAGACTTTAGAATCACTTTAACCCAGTTCAGCTTTAAGTTATTCATGAGCTGACATCTCTAAGCATCTTTATTAGTGGTGCATTGAAATGAAAATTCTGGTGCCGAAACCGATACCGAAAATTAAAAATGCATGTGGTCGAAAATCGAACCGAAACCGAACTGTCTGCGTATTGCTTTTTTTTTTTTCTACTTTCGTAGAAAAAATATAAATATATTTTTTTATTTTTTTTTTTACTTATGATTTCTTTGTAGGGGGGGCAGTGTGTGCAAGGAGGAGGCAGGAGAGGAGCAGTGTATACATAGAGGTAGCAGTGTATACAGAGAGGCTCCCTCACTGGCTGTCACTATATGTCTGCCGGTTTTTAAATGCAATTGCCAGCTTTTTTTTTTTTTCTTCTTCACCATTGCTGTCACTTTTCCTGGAGCTAAAGGAAACTTTTTGTTTCTTTTAGCTCAGGAAAGAAACTAAAAAGAAATATGTTTGTTTCTTTTAGCTTGGGGAAAGTGACAGCTGATTCTCTGAGCTATAGTGAAGAAAACAAAACCCAGCAATTGCATTTAAAAACTGTCACTGACATACAGTGACAGCCAGTCACTGTATACACTGCTCCTCTCTTGCCTTTCTCCGCTATTCGTATTCAAAGCAAACTTGCCTATCCAGCCATGTCTCCATGCTTTATTATACTGAGAAATTAAGGAATTAGCTGAAGAAACGTAAAAAAAAGTTTAAAACAAGTAAAAATAATACACTTTCCCAACTATTTTTTACTAATGCTAGCAGCATAAGGAGTAAAAATAGTGAATGTTGATTTGAGAGTGAAGTTCCACTTTAAAGTGAATAACTCTACACCGAGTTTACTATATGAACCACTGATGTATTTATACATGTTGATCATATTCCCCCTTAATATCCTCTTCTAAAGAGATAATTTTATTTATTTAGGTACTTATATAGCGCCGTCAATATACGCAGCGCTTTACATATATATTGTACATTCACATCAGTGCCTAACCCTCAAGGGGCGTACAATCTAAAGAATAAACTCAGTTCCTCTAATCTTTCCTCATAGCTGAGCTCCTCCATGCCTCTTATCAGTTTGGTTGCCCTTCTCTGTACTTTCTCCAGTTCCCCAATGTTCTTTTTGTGAATTGGTGCCCAAAACTGAACTGCATATTCCAGATGAGGTGTTGCTAACGATTTGTACTAGTCTATACCTCTCTTAATACAAAGGATTTTGCTCGCTTTAGAAACCGCAACTTGGCATTGCATGCCATTATTAAGCTTGTGATCTACCAGAACTCCCATAGCCTTACATTTTATCAACATTAAACCTCATTTGCCATATAGTTGCCCAATTAAACAGTGCATTGAGGTCGGCTTGTAAATTGTGTAAAGTGACCGTAAACTTACCAACTGAAAGAGCACCAGTCAAAAATACAAACAGATTAGCTAGTGCTCAGATTTTATGTAGTGATCTAACCTCTGGAAGATTCTTTTTACACCTAGGCATCCGCTTTGTATCCTTGCATGTGATCTGGTCTTAGTACAAAAAGCAATTAACACACCCTGTCAGTAGACTTTTGACTATGATTGAAAACTCCAGTCATCAAAATCTGTAGACCGCTTGACTTGTGCAGATCTTACAAACCACAAATGACAGACAAAGTTGGTGGCTGAGTGGTTATCACCACCTTACTAATATTGATTGGTCTTCAGATCAAACTGATCCAGGAACACCATCTACATACAGTTTATATGGTCTGTTTTTGCATATACTGAAGAATCTTCATGCTCTGATAAGTAGTGCATTCTATATAAATAAATGCTGGAAAAAAATACATCTGCTTACAGACAAGTGTAAATGAGGATAGGTAGATATTATTATTATTATTATTATTATTATACAGTATTTATAAAGCGCCAATGGTTCGCTCAGCGCTGTACATTACAAAGGGGGACAGAACATGTGACAGAACAATACCAATACAATGCAAAACATGAGGGGATCGAGGGCCCTGCTCTTTCGAGATTACAATCTAGGAGGGTGGGGATAGTGGTACAGGAGGAGATAGCTGTGGGGGATGGAGTGGTAGGAAGAGTGGAGGAGGTCGCCAAGTTAGCAGGGGGTGGGGTAGGCTTCCCTGAACAGATGGGTTTTCAGGGTGCGCCTAAAGGAGAGGAGAGTAGGTGATAATCTGATGGGTTGGGGCAGGAAGTTCCAGAGGATGGGTGACACCCTGGAGAAGTCCTGGAGGCGGGCATGGGAGGAGGAGACCAGGGAACTAGAGAGAAGGAGGTCTTGTGAGGAGCGGAGTGTGCGTGCTGGGCGGTACTTGGATATTAGGTCAGTGATGTAGTTCGGGGCAGTATGGTGGACAGCTTTGTACGTCAGTGTTAGGATTTTGAATTTGATCCGTTGCGCAATCGGAAGCCAGTGGAGGGATTGGCAGAGGGGGGTGGTGGCGGAAACGGAGCGGTTGGAAAGGTGAATGAGTCTGGCAGCCGTATTCAGGATGGACTGAAGCTGCTGGATAGCCAGCGGCGAGGCAGGCCAGTGAGGAGGGAGTTGCAGTAGTCGAGTCGTGATATGAGAGGGAGTGGATGAGCTGTTTAGTGGTTTCTGGGGTTAGGAACGTGCGTATTTTGGCGATGTTGCGGAGGTGGAGTCTGCACGAGTTTGTTAAAGATTGGACTTGGGGCTGGAAGGATAGGTTGGAGTCCAGAATGACAGATATGCAGTGTTTGTCAACATAGCAGTTTCTTGGGTTGGTGCACTCTTTGTGGGTAAATGTGTTTTGTGTCTCTTCCAGGTTGTGTTTCTCTGATGTCAAATATAGCGCAAGGTGGTCAAAGGAGACTTCATTCAGCAGTATTTATATCAGCCCCAGAATGATCACAGACCACATGCCGGACATTGTACTGAATGCACTAAATAGCCTCTGTCAGGAAAGAGTCGGATGTTCTTCCTGCCAGACTCCCCAGCAGACTTTTTACAACAATCAGATATAGTCCAGGATGGTTATGTCCACAAAGACTCTTAACTCTCCTGATCTACAGAAGTAATGAAGATGTTCTACACTGTGACTTGAAAATCTTCATATATAAGGGTCCTCAGAGGAATTGGGGTGAAGAACAAAGGAACTCCAGCCGTTCTGACTTTTGCAGCCTTTTTTTTTTTTTTTAAATGCAAGTTGTATTTTATTTTATAAAGAAAATATTGCTTATTTTAAGAGAGAAAATTAAAGCATAATGAACAAAACAGAACAATAATAAAACCTTATACAATGTGTGCCCTTTGCATTCAAAGAAGAAGTTCACAAAAGCATTTTGTTTTGAGTTTAGATATGAATGTTTACCTGATTTCACGCCTGTCATCCTGTATAATGTCCTGCTCTGAGCATTGTCACCTCCACTTTGCTCTGTCTGCTCAGGCTTCATGTCACTAGCGCCTTTTGTTCTATTTGGGAATCCTTCTGTCTGTCTTGTAACACAAGCAGAGCAGGGTGGAGGTAGATGTACATGGCAGAAGAGAGTTCTTTTTGCAGAAAAGAGAGCACAGAAAGTAATGTCGTGTGTTGTACACCAAACACTACTCCACCTAAAACAATTTGCTGGTGTTCTCTGTTAGTGGCCTATACCTGTCTGCTATGCAATATTCTCTGTTTATTGTGGGGTTTTTTTTTTTTTTTGTTTTTGTTTGTTTTTTTAAGAGGTGAGTATATTGACCTACAGGCCAATTGCTGGTGTGATTTATTGTCATTTAGCTACCCATGAAATGTGGCTGACACATCAATGAACTCCTCCCTAATTTTATTGTATGTATGTAAGTAATGTTGTATTTGATTTGTAAGCAAGCCAAATATGTGTGACAGGGATGTCTGTAATGCATACAGTTTGACATTTTACAGTTTGTGTATATTTAACTGGTACATGACCAGGTCCAACATCACTTCTGGTATTTAGGATGTTTGTTTAAAAGGGATGCACTTACCTTGCAAGTCTACAATGTGTCTAAAAACATGCATTGTAGGATAAGTAAAAATGACATTTGAGATCTCATCTTATTACTAACCAGTTTCAATGTTTGTTTTTCTTATGTATGAAAAATGTCACCTGATGCTGGGCTCAGAGGGGTGATGATACACTTACAGTATGACATCTGCACACCTAAGGGGGAGGGTGTACACTGTGAAAACCATATCCATAATGGGGTATCCCATAGTAACCAATCACAGGTCACTCTGCTGAAGCCAGGCTAGTATTAGGTGGAATCTGGTCATTGTGGATCTGGACAGAGAAATACTCAGACTGCTATTGGTGACCTCTCTAGGGTGTCCTTCTGGGCCTGCCGGGAAATATTGAGACTAGGGGCTGCCAGGCAGGCAGGCAGAATTTTCAGTAGGCAGTAAGCAATGACCACCTTTTCTTTCAATGCCAGAGCCGTTTGTCCCTTTTTTTTTTTATTTAGTAAAAAAATTCAAGAGTAAAAGTACACCTGCCATGTGCTTGGCAGGGGGGAGTCTGAGTCAGGTCAGGTACAGCAAATGTTTGTTTGACCTCCCCTTCTTGTTAATAGCCCAGAAGCGACATGTAACATGTCACTTTCGTGTCCCCTTGTCTGGCTGGGGAAAAAGCGAATGCAATCTCCACTCAATTAGATTCATTGGAGGACAGGTGAGATGTCACTTGTCTTTTAGACCCCTGATATCTCATTAAAGAGGGTCTGTCACCAAAAAATTCATCACTTAGGGGACATTTTGGACTTTTAGAACAAAAAAACAATGGGTAAAATAGCGATCGTATTAATTCCCAAAGGCGGACTAGCCCTTATCAGTGTTGAAAGATAAAAGGCAATGAATGGAAAGTCAGAAAAAGAACAGCAAATTAGGAAGGGGTGGAACAGGAAAAGAGAACAGAAGAGTGAAAAGATAGGAAAGTGTGTGTGGTAAGGGGGGGGGGGGGGGGGGGGGTGTAATGGGGGAGAAGTGTGAGTGTGTGCGACAAGTGGTGCAGCTGACTAAAGCAGACCAAATAGGTCTCCATGATCTCTCCAGGATCTTATGGGGATGTTGTACGGCTGTGAGCTGTCTGAGGGGAAATTATTCTTGGGATCCCATTATGCTATAGCTCTGTACTCCAGAGAACCGGTGATTTTGGTCCAATAGAACCACGTAGTGTGTAAGCGCTGTTCCCGTGCTTATGTTATAACTCCTTCCATCCGTTTAGTTACTGACCCAGAGATGGCATCCCATGCCATATATTATATGAACCCGTGAACATGCAGCTGCTATGGCCATACCTAGGCACGTGCTGGAATTTCATTCACATTACTCTTTTCTATCTCCCTGGAGTTCAGATTTAAAATGAGGCTTGGTGTTTTGTATGGAATCGGTGCATTCGGTGGTGGCCTCACTCAAGCAGGGGAACTTTCTTGCGGGGACTGTCAAAGGACATCAGGGATGTGTATATCCATATGCCCATTTTTCCCACACACCAAAAATACCTATGTTTTGCAAAAGACAAACTGCACTTTTAGTTTGTGTCCCTGTCTTTTGGTCTGGCCACAGCCCTACAGGTTCCCCAGGAGATCAGTGTGTTTGTATCCTGGAATACTTGGACGACCTGTTGCACCGAGACCAGTTGGCGCTTCAGTTGAGGCAAAACATGTTTGTCAAGAATCATACTCTAGAGCAGCCGTCACTAAATGGCGGACCAGGGTCCGTGTATAGACCAAACGACGGTCTTATCCGGACTGGGGTGTAAAGAAGGGCTGTGAAGGGGACTGGGGTGCACGTAAGGGGGCTGTGAAGGGGACTGGGGTGCACATCAAGGGGCTGTGAAGAGGACTGGGGTGCAAGTAAGGGAGGCTGTGAGGACTGGGGTGTAAGTAAAGGGAAACTAAGGAGGACCAGGATGCAAAGAACGTGGGCTGAGAAGGGGACTGGGGTTCAAGTAAGGGGGGCTGTGAAGGGGACTGAGGTGCAAGTAAGGGAGTCCATGAAGAGGACTGGGAGCAAGTAAGGGGGCCTGTAGAGGACTGGGGTGCAAAGAAGGGGGGCTGTGAAAGGAACTGGGGTGCAAGTGAGGGTTTGAAGGAGACTGGGGTGCAAGTAAGGTGGGCTTTGAAAAGGACTTGGGAGCAAGTAAGGGGGGTTGTGAAGGGGATTGGGGTGCAAGAAAAGGGGAGGCTGTGAAGGTGACTGGGACGCAAGAAAGGGTGGGGCTCTGAAGGGAACTGGGATACAAGTAAGAGGGGATTGTGAAGGGGACTGGGATGCAAGAAAGGGGGGGGGGGGTGTTGCTGTGAAGGGGACTGGGATACAAGAGGGGCTGTAGAGGGAACGGGGGGGCTGGGGTGCAAGGAAGGGGGGCTGTGATATGACAAGGTGACAGAGAACACTGATGTGAAGGGGAGGGGGGCTGTGATGTGAGGTGTTGGGCTGAGAACACTGGTGTAAAAGGGGGTCTGTGATGTGAAGGGATTACAGAGGACCTTGAAGTAAAGGAGGGCCTGTAATGTAAAGTGGGCTGTATTGTAAAGGGGGATGTTTGTGATGTAAAGGAGGCTGTATTTTAACCACTAGCCTACAGGGCACTTATACCCCCTTCCTGCCCAGGCCAATTTCCAGCTTTAAGCGCTGTCACACTTTGAATGACAATTGCGCAGTCATGCAACACTGTACCCATATGAAATTTTTATCATTTTTTTGAGGCAGAGCTTTCTTTTGGTGGTATTTAATCACCTCGGGGATTTTTATTTTTTCTTAAACAAACCAAAAACCACTGCAAATTTTGAAAAAAAAACATTTTTTCTTAGTTTTTGTTATACAATTTTGTAAATAAGTGATTTTTCTCCTTCACTGATGTGCGCTAATGAGGCTGCAGTGATGGGCACTGATAGGCTGCACTGATGGGCATTGTTGAGGCACTGGTAGGTTGCACTGATGGGCATTGACAGGTATCACTGATGGGCACTGAAAGGCAGCACTGATACATGAAACTGATATATGGCACTGATAGGCGGCACTGACTGGCACTGATAGGCGGCACTGACTGGCACTGATAGGCGGCACTGATGGGTGACATTGAAAGGCAGCTCAGATGGGCACTGATATGTGGCAATGATGTGCACTGGTATGCACTGATATGTGGCATTGATGGGCACTGGCACGTGGCACTGATGAGCACTGACTGCTGACACTGAGACACTGACAGGTGGCACTTCTGGGGCCACACTGATCATCAGGGCACACTGATCATGTCAATGTACATGTCCCCTCCGTGGAAAGCCGATTACCGGCTCTCCTCTCGAGCTGTCAGCGTGACAGCTTGAGAGGAGAGAAATGCCGATAACCGGCATTTCCGTGTTTACATGTGATCAGCTGTGATTGGACACAGCTGATCACATGACCAAGCCGACATCTTCGGCTCTTTCCGAGATCCGCTGTGTCCGAGGGACACTGTCAGGCTCTGCCCAACGGGATCTCTAGTGGTCCACAGAACGGGATTCCCCAGGACGCGGAGTCTAAGTCCCAGTCTGCCTTTTCACCAGAGCCCCTGATGGTGGGGATGGACTTGGTGTAAGACTGAAACCAGGTCGCGATCCCTGGGTGCACCCAACTATGGTAGAGGGGTCCCGCTGATGGGTATGTGCCCAGGATGAGCCTGCTGTGAAGGGGTTGACAGGTCCAGGTCCAAGCGGGATGGATGGATGACCGCCAGGAGTGAGCGTGGTCAGACTAGCCGGGTCGGTAACAGTGGGGACAGGTGCGGTACCAAGCAGCAGACAAAGAGTAGTCAGGTCACACGCCGGGTTCAGTAACAGAGGGTCCAAATAATAGTAACGACAGGCAGAGGAATGGTCAGGGACGAGCCAGGGGGTCAGAGCAGGAGAAGGTCAGCATGGATCAGAACAGGCAGGGTCGGCAACAAGGAACGCACTGCAGGAACAGGAACAAGACCTTGCGGCAATGAGGACATTGCCTGGCCAGTTTAAATAGCGCGCCTTGCACCGTCATTGGCGCAATTGCCGCCGCGGATGCCCAGGTCCTAATGCCCGCATATTGATGTGCCTGGGCGATCCGCGCATGCGCTGATTCGCACGCCACGGCGAAGCCCGAGATCCCTGACAGACACAGCGCACCGGCGATCGCCGCGCTGCCTGAGCTGCGCGTGCGCGGTGTGAGAATGGAAGGACGTCATATGACGTCCTATCCGAGCGGGAGAACCACCTTGCGCCTGTCATTGTACTATATGGCGGGCGGAAGGTGGTTGAAGTGGGTGCTGTGATGTAAAGGGGGGCTTTATTGTAAAGTGGGTGCTATGAGTTTACAGAGGGGGTTCTGCAATGTAAAAGGGGGGTCTGCGATATGAACAGGGCTGTGATGTAAAGGGAAGGACTGATGACACTGATTAAAATGGGCAACTGCAAGGTAAGGAGGGAGGCTGTGATATATGAAGTGTGATCCTGAATCATAGCACAAACCTGAAACTCTGATCTTGCATGATGAAAATTCTAATGACCGGACCCCTGTAAATTTTAGATACGTACCCCTGCTCTAGAGAGTCTAACCTGGATCCTCAATCTGGAGAAGGCACAGTTTGAGCCAGCCCAAAGCTTTGAGTATCTGGGCCTTATCCTGGACACCGTCCAGGCAAAGGTGTTTCTGCCTCCATGGAAGCGCTTTTATTGAGGAAGCAGGTGAGATCTAAGGAGTCTCAGGTTTCTGTCTATTCATCTTTGCATGAGACTGCTGAGGTAGATGGTGGCCACGTTCGAGGAGGTGCCATACACGCAATTCTATTCCAGGCCACTATAGAGGAATATCCTATCTGCGTGGAACAGGAGCATTCAGTCACTGGACTGCCGGATGTCCCTAGATCCCAGTGTGCTACAGGCATTAAACTAGTGGATGGTTCCTCAGAATCTGGGAGGGAGAAATTGTCTCTTCCAGGTGTTTGGAAGGTGTGGACTATTCAATATACTGGAGCTATAAGCAGTCCATCTTGCCCTGGCTTACTGGATGAGTCAGCTGCAAGCACTTCAGACATAGCCATGGTGGTGGCGTATATCAACCATCAGGCAGCACTAGGAGTCAGGTTGTCTAGATGGAAGTAGATCATATTCTTGTCTGGACAGAATGTTATGTTTCAGTCCTGTATGCAGTCAATATCCTGTGAGTGGAAAACAGAGGGACTTCTCAGTTATGAGCAATTGATTCCTGAGGAGTGGTCCCTTCATTCCGAGATGTTCAATGCAATTTATCGTCATTGGAACACCCTGGATGTGTATCTTGTGTTCAAATTCAATATGAAACTTACCAGTAATTTTAGTCACACCAGCTTGGCCCAGAAGGACATGGTACGACAACATCATAGTGGACAGCCTTTGGCAACTGCTAGCCTGGCCAAATCTCCCATTCCAGGGGCCAATATGACATCCTGCTTTAGTCACTGGGTTTGATGGCTTGGCTATTGAAACTAATGTTTTGAGTGACTGAGGGGTCTCTGGAATGGTTATACCTGCTTTGCTGAAGGCCAGAAAGCCGTCCCCCAGAAGGATATATCATAGGACCTGGAGGTCTATTATGGCTTGGTGCAAGACCAGGAAGTTTCATCCCCGTAAATACACAATTGGTCGCATTTTGGCTATCCTCCAACTGGGGGTGGAAATTAATTTGGCACTTTTTGCAGGGGTATCCCCATGTGGTTTTGTCTGTTAAGTCCCCCCTGTGCCTGTGGGATTTGAATTTGGTCTTGTCTGTGTTGCAAAAAACACCTTTTGAAACCAATTCAGGAGATTTCATTGACTCGGAAGGTGTTTTCTTGGTGGCAATCATTTCAGCAAGGAGCTTGTTGCAGCTGGCAGCTCTTTCCTGTAGGGAGTCTTTTTTTTTTTTTTTTTTTTTTTTTTTTTTTTTTAGTTCTCCACCATGACAAGCTGGTATTGTTTCCTCATCCGTCATGCTTGCCAAAAGTAGTTTTGACTTTTTATTTTGAATGAGGATATTGTCTTGCCATTTATTTTTTTTTTTTTCCTAGTCAATCACAGGGGGAGAAAGCTCTGCACACATTGGATGTGGTTCAGACTGTCATGGTTTAACTGAAGATGACTGCTGCGGTCAGGCAGTGAGACTCTTGGTTTTTATGTTTCCTGAGTATCCTAGGATGGATGAGGCAGCTTCAGAGTAAACTACTTCAGAATGGGTCTGTCAGTTTATTACCTAGTTTATGACTTGAACACTAAGGTTTGTGTCTTTTTAGATAAAGGCTCACTCTACTAGGAGTGTGGGGGGCCTCTTGGGCTATCAAGCGACAGTTGCTCAGGTCTGCAAGGCTGCAGCCTGATCTTCTGGGCATACCTTTACAAGGTTTTGCCAAGTGAACGTAAGGGCTACTGAAGATACAGCTTTTGGCCGTTTTGTGGGCTACGGAGTAGTCCTCCTTGGGCCTGGCTTCTGTGTCACCTTCCCCTCAAGTTCATTGACTTCGGACAGCCCTTTTGTCATGATTATGGCCTACTCTATGTCCCCTGATGTATGAAAAAGCAAAATTGAATTTTTGTACCCAACTATAAAATCCATTTCTGTACTTAAGAATGCTTGTCTCCTGGTTGTCAATCTGATCAATGGCTTCTATGATGTGAGGTTTTCTCTGTAGAACACTAATGTGGAGCAAGTATGCATATCGGCAGTTCTGATTTCAATCTGTCTTTTTAGACTACTTGGTTCTGTTGGGTCAGTACTGGACCCAGAGACAGCCAGATGCCTATTATTTGTTAGGAGGACAGCAATGGTTACCCCTGTTTTCTTTACAGCAAAATATTTGTTTTACTCTGGAGTATACCTTAAAAGGGAACCATCAGGATAGTAATATGGATACTGCTGTTGCCAACTTTTTTTATAATGTAATTACAGGCAAAATAAAATATCCATATATGATGCAACATTTGTCAAAAATCCTTCAAAACAACATAGTTTCGTAATCTATTGAACCTGCTAGTGATCAATATTTTTTCCAATTTTTGTAACAGACCAAGCTGTCCATGCAATATCCATTTACATTTACAGGAAGTCCTGGTCTAAATGGTTAGAGCAGCTGTCAATCAACCAGCAGGAGGCATTAATGGTAGCAGATTGGATGAAGGCACACAGTGGCTACTGTCCTGAAGAATTGTAGGCTGGTGGTCACTCTATTTAAAAAGGGCCTCAGAGAGAGCAGAAAGTGGCAGGATCAACAGGTATTTCTGAAACATTTATTCGCACCAATGTAAAAAAAAAAAAAATCACATATGGGTGGTCAGAAATAGGAAGACTTAACAATAAATATCTAACCAGAATCTGATCCTTAAGCTGGCCATACACTAGTAGATTTTTGTTATGAACATTCTCATTTATACATTTGAGGACATGACAAATGTTGTTTTTATAAAGTACTTTGTAAGTCTTTTACTTATAACTTTACCCCATTGTACAGACTTTCCTTTCCTTCTCCAAGTGATAACTTAATATCGAGACACACAATAAATAGACGTGCAATTCTTTTAGTTACAGATCAAAATTTGGACAAAGTTGCGATTTGGAGATTCTGATGTATTTGAATTTCGGAATCACAAAAGTAACGGCTTTCAGTGAATCCAAAATAAATTATAACAAAATTATTTGAATTTTGAATTCGAAATTTAAACCTATTGCAATAAATACTGTAAGGTAGAGAATGGAACGTTATAGAATGGGGATAAAAAAATAGAATAGAAAAGGAAAATAATTGAAAAAAATAGAAAAGATTAGAATAGAATATAGCCATCTTCCGAAATTCAAATAGAGTAAAATATAGCTGTCTTAAATTTTTTAATAGAAGATAGCCGTCTACCGAAATTCCATTTTGCATAGTATAAAATGTCTTCCAAAATCCAAATTTCAAATATAATAAAATGATAAAAAACTTTATTCTATATAGCACATTTAAAGGTACAAGGAAAACAAGAAATTCACAGGATAAAACAAAGGAAGCAAGAGGCACAATTATGAGAAAGCTTGTCCAAAGAAATACAAAAGTTTTTAGAAAAAGCTGCTGAAGATGCCTCTCTGATGTTCTTTGGAAGTGAATTCTAGGGTTTTGGGGCATAGCAGGAATAGTGTGCATCTCTCATAGTATTTAGGTGA